TTCCGGCCTGCTACTCTGTGCTACGCCTGTGCTTACCTTGCTCCCGAAGACCTGGTCCCTCTCGGTAGGGTAACAAGGGAACGTGTTCAGTGCAGATCAGGGAGTAAGCACAAGCCCGCCTTGTTTCAGTGCCTATACTTATCTTAGCGTACAGTATATAGTGTACCCTTTCTTTGCCTAAAAATATTAAAGGAACACTTCCAGATACACTGAAACATAACATAATAATACAGTAATAATAATAATATTTTGATACACGTCACAAAGTAGCACCCATTTGTCATTACAAACCATTTTATATACTTTGAATTTTTAATGCAATAGGCTTAACGGGGATTGGTCCATAACTGCAGGTTGTACGTTAAGTTAGACTTTTGTAACCCAGGCACTGCCTGTAATTTACTTTGCAGCTGACTGCAGCCATTGCCTCTGGGCACTTGTTCAAAAATGCAGAAATGAAATAACAGATTGGCCAGACCGAACACAACTCCCCAGTCACAATCCTATTATCTCCTCATTCTGTCACCTCTATTAGGCAGAAGCCTGGGAGACTGTATGGTGACAACACAGTATTGATGTAGCTCGTTCATTTCCACAGTTCAGGGCTTTGTGCCAGTGTCCTCTCTTTCATCTCCAAGCAGGGCATTGAAGATGGGGCTCAGAGCTCTGAGGCCCACGCTGCAGGCCACGCTGCCCATTTTAAAGGACCTTTGTTCAACCTTTAACTGGGAGGGGGCTCCTCAGTTCCTAGAAAACCATAATAAGATGAAGGAGCTAATTTCCTCCATTTGGTGACCACCCACCTAACCACCCAGTGAATGAATTTGTTTGAAGCTGCAGTGCGTGGCTTTTACCAAATAGAGCTCCGTTATCAGGAGCAATCTGGCTTTATGTTATTTATAGCTGTTCTAGTCAGGTCAGAGTCCAGCAGAGTAGTTATTGCATTTAGTATTGGCTGCATGGAGCTTCTGTAGGGTCATCTTCTGAACAATCATGACATTTCTCTGGGCAGAATAAATGCCCAGGAATCAGTAAAAAGAAAAAAACAGAAAACCCAAACCCATTGCTGTCTTTCTAGTTGGTTCTGACTCATAGTGACCCTGTAGGGCAGGGTAGAACTGCTCTGTAAGGTTTCCAAGGCTGTAAATCTTTACGGAAACAGACTGCCATCTTTCTTCCACAGAGTGGCTGGTGGGTTTGAACTACTTGACCTTTTAACTAGCAGCTAAGTGCTTAACCACTGCACCACCAGGGCTCCTTGAATGTCCACGAGAGAAGGGTTTTTATTTAACTGAGAGGCTTGTTTTCTGGTTGTTGTCTGCTGTTGAATTTCCTTTTTAAATTTAAGATAGGGACAAGATAAAATTGTTAGGTGAGGGCTTGGGTTTGTTTTCCCCCTTGATGAAGTGTAAAAACAGAAATTTTTGAACAAAAATGTTGAGAGAGATCCAGAGTAAAACACTGTTTTCTTCCTGAGTAGTCAACTCTCTAGACTAGGTAGAGTCCCTGGGTGACATAAACGGTTAAGCGTTTGGCTGCTAAATGAAAGATGGGCAGTATAAACCCACCCAGAGGTGGCTCTGAGACAAGCCTATTGACATGCTTCTGAAAAGTCAGAGCCTTGAAAACTCTGTAGTGCACAGTTCTGCTCTGACACACATCGGTTTCTATGAGTTGGAATCACCTCATGGGAGCTTTTTTATTATTATTATTATTATTATTATTGGAGTCATTGGCCTACAGTGGTTGTTCATTTCCCAGTGAGCTTCCCCTTTTCTCTGTGTTCATATCATCCACCTGTTTGATAGACTTGTATAATTGCATCTTTCATCGATGAGTAATTCTTTTGAGAAGGTGGTAGGTTGGAGTATTACTTCCAGGTTTTGCCTCCCAATCCCTTTTTATCCAATTGGATGGTTTCTAGTGATGCAGAAGGCCTGCATTGTGGTTGGAGTCAGGTCAGATCGTGTGACAGCCGCCAATGTCTCTGATGAGAGAACCACTGACTGATTCAGCCCCTTTCCTTACAAAGTTCTGACCATTGTAGGTGGTGAAGCCAGATGAAGGCTTTCTGTCAGGAGATGGTAGCCTTGTGCTGAGGAAAGGGGAAGGAGGGCATGTGCAGTTTAATGACTTTTAAATAAAGATAATTTATGTTAAAAAGAAGATTTGGCTCAAGTTTATCCATCTTGGAGAGACCTGTTGTTCTGTGTGAAAGCTACATGAGAGAGGGTAGTCCCCCAGCCCTGCCAGGTAAAATGAAAACATTGACTCGTTTGTGAGATGGCTTGTATTACATTTGTTGTTGTTCTTTCTTCTTGCCAATTAACCCTAACTCTCCTTTCCTTTCTTTTTCACATCAGCTCATACACCAGATAACAGCTTTCTGGGGTTTGTGGTAGAGCAGCACCTGAATTCCAGTGACATCTACCACATTAATGAAATCAAAAGGCAGAACCAGTCCCTAGTATATGGCAAAGTGGATAGCTTCTGGAAGGTGAGTCAGTCTGTGTGTGTGTGTGTGTGTGTGTGTGTGTGTGTCTTTTTGAAAAGAAGCTTGCTGGGTAATTTAATTTAACTTTGAGCCAGGGAGTAATCAAGCCAAGTGCCCAGGGCTTAATGGGATCTGCTTAGAAGTAAACAAGAATGTTCAAGGATTTGGTTTCTCAGCATTTGGTTATCTAATAAAGGCAGGATCTGCTCATCCATGCAGTGGCTGCATCACAGACTTCTTACTCTCTGCATTTTGGAAGTGAACCAAAATGTCACTTGTACTTGCTTCTGAGAGTAGATGCTTTGCAGAAGCTAGGCACTGCATTGAACCTTTTGCAAATGAATCTTTTCTTTCATCCTCTGGGAAATTGCATGGGTAGACAGCTCCCTTGGCCTGGGGAAATTAGTGACCTTCATATCCTTTTGGCTGTGGTCAGTAATCATGGTCAGTTGTTAGTACACAACTAACTAGGAAAGGGAAATGTCTGCTGGGAATATGGATAAAACTCTTGGCCACAGACTGAACCAGATTTTCCAGCAGGGGTGGAGTGCTGAGCCCTGGTGGGCCCCTTTGCCTTCCTAGTGTGATGTCCAGAGTGCAGCTAGGGAAGGTTCAGCAGGAACAGAACCAGATGGGGTGTGACCTGCTGACAAGCAATGCAAATCTTTTTATATGGGAAATCTGCCTTAGTATGCAGATGTCATCATTGGTTTCTTATGTTTTGAGCAAATGTTTCTGTAGGACCAAACCATCTCTAGAACTTACAAACATGCCTATTCCTAAATTTAAGAGTCTACCACTTGCCAAAATAATTACAAACTATGGTCTCTTGCTATTATGTCATCCGTATCTAGGATGTTAAAAATCCTACAAATAGGAAAGAACAAGTGATGTACAGGATGGAAAAGAATTCCTTGCTGTTGGTTTTCTGACACTGTGTCCAGAAAAGGGGAAGCTTTGTCCTTCCTGCCTTCTCTTTGATTCCAAGAGGGCAGCTGTACTGATGGAACTTTTAAATAGCCTTATTTCCAGGGAAGCTGATTTAATTCCACATAGCTGACTTTGCCATCAGTAGCTAGAATTTTGTCTTGCTCTAATACAAGATTACCAACTGGGGACAATTTTGCTCCCTACACCTAGGTAGGGTAGACATTTTGCAAGGTCTGGAGACATTTTTGATTGTCATAATCTGGGAGGAAACTACTATAGGCATCTAGCGGGTGGAAGCCAAGAATACTGCTAGACATTCTGCAATGCACAGGACAGCCCCACGACAAGATACCAACTGGCCCAAAATGTCAATAGTGTTGAGGCTGAAAAACCCTCCACTTGTAAATAAGATTTATTTTCTCCATATACTATCAAACACATTCCCCTACCTAGTAAAATTAAGTCAATCTGGATTATTAATGGTTATTTAAGATGTTCATCTGAATTTATGCGTCTTTACTTGCCTTGTATCGAAATCTGCCCTCTGTTAACAGTACGTTTTTTCAGCTAACTTTTAGCCAAACTTGAGTGAAAAGGGAAAGTTGGGTGTTCTCCTTTTCAGGTTGGCTGTGAAATGGGTGGGTCACAGCATTGGTTCTGGGAAAAATGAGGCCCTTAGAGAAGAGCTGCAGCTCCCTTCTCCCCCTCTGTACCTCAAAGAAAATAGCTCACATCTCTCCGAAGACTTGACCTTGGGGTTATCTCACTTCTGGAACACAAGTGCCACCTTCTTCTAGGTATCTCTGGCAGCTTTTACTTTTTCCCTAGAAAAACAAAACCAGAATTGGTTCTGAAAACTTTTTCAATCTTTCTTATTTATTTATCTATCTATTTATTTAAATAAAATACTATTACCACTGAAAGAGTAACTCTCTGAATGCCAGTCAGAATCACAAAAGTGTTAACCATCTTGAGCCAAGTGATTTAGGATGGGATTTAGAAATTTCTCCAATTTTGAGATGTTACCTATACAGGTGATCTGACCCTTTACACACTGTGTGTCACTCAGGTATCATAGACAGCTGAGGGGCATTGTGTCCACATTAATCTTTGCCTGAATACCAAAATCTGGTGTGTTACTTGAATTTCATTATATCATTCCAGCATTGTTTGCTAAGAAAGGCCAAAAATGATGAAAAGTACTATAATCTACTTCCATAGTGATACTGCCTCGGAAACCCAAGGAGGGGTCACTATGAGTATTGTTAGGCTCAGCCCTGGCTCTGCCACATGCTGCTTGATCTTTTGGGCAAGTCACCTGACCTCTTTTTAACCTCGTTTTCATTTGTTAAATGAGAATAATAATGTTTTTGTGGTGATTCAATTTTTTAATATATATATATAAGGTGCTTAGAACAGCACCAGGAGCTCTGGTAGCGTAGTGCCTAAGGCACTTGACTGCTAATCAGAAGGCTGGCGGTTCAAACCCACCAGCCACTCCTCGGAAGGAAGGTTGGCAATCTACTTCCATAGTGATACTGCCTCGGAAACCCAAGGAGGGGTCACTATGAGTCAGGTCCCACTCGATGGCACATAACAACAACAACAGGACAGCACCTGGTACAGAGTTTAAGTAAATGATTGCTGCTATCATTACTCTCATTATTGGGGCCAGGTAGGAAACACAAGAGTGAGAATGGTGAGGGTATGAGACAATGATAGATAGAGTCTGTGAAAAGTAATTGCCATTAAGTCAGTTCTGACTCCCAGCATGTCAGAGTAGGACTGTCCTCCACAGGGTTTTCAATGGCTGACTTTTCAGAATTAGATCACCAGGCCTCTCTTCAGAGCCTGTGAACAACTGGCAAATACAAACCCGCCTAAAGACATTCACATTCAAATTTTTAAACTTTGTTAGTGGTTAGCAAATTCTAGCCTAGTAAAGTTTTATTGGAACATGGACATGCTCATTCATTCATGTGTATGGCTGCTTCCACCCTACTTGCAGTTATGATAGAAACTGTATGGCCCACAAAGCCTAAAATATTTACTATCTGGCTCTTTTCAGAATAAGTTTGCTGATCCGTTAACTCCACTGTGTAAACCATATAAGTCTCTGGAGGCCATATTTGGCTAATAGCCCTTGGTAAGGATCTCACTAAGGTCTTTTAGGCTTGTTTTCAGGGTCCTTGAATATGTTCCATGTGATTGAAGCTGATGGATAACTAACACATGGAAAGATGCAAATTGACTTTACTAAAATCCCTATCGGGAGCTCTGGTAGCATAGTGCCTAAGCACTTGACTGCTGACTAGAAGGCTGGTGATTCAAACCCACTAGCCATTCCTTGGAAGGAAGATGGGGTAATCTACTTCCATAGTGATACTGCCTCAGAAACCCAAGGAGGGGTCACTGTGAGTCAGGTCTGACTTGACGGGACATAACAACAACAAAAAAATCCTATCACTCTGAAGACAAGGTAGAAGGTACTTGGAGTGGCATCTCCTAGGAAGCATTCTGCAACAACTAGTGCTTGTTCAGGAGCTATGGTGGGCATAGTGCCTAAGGCATTTGACTGCTAACCAGAAGGTTGGCAGTTCAAACCTACCAGCCACTCCTCAGAAGGAGGACTGAGCAATCTACTTCCATAGTGATACTGCCTCGGAAACCCAAGGAGGGGTCACTGTGAGTTTACTTGGTGGCAGTGAGTGAGAGTGCTTATTCTGTAATTAATGCATTGATCACAGGAGAAGGCTATATATTTATACCAGGTTGACATGCCTCAGAGTCTTTTATGGCTATCATGTAAAGTAGTAAACACTAATTCCCTTTGAAGAGGCAAAATTAGCTGTTATCATCCTTAACTGCCCTGTATGATAGAAGATGAACTGGTTCAAGGAGCTGGAGTGACTTGCCCGAGGGCACACAACACAGCTGTGATTTTGGCCTCCCCTCCCAGTCCTTGCTTGATAGAGCTGCACCTCTGCTCTCTGCCCTTAGGTTTTTCTCCTTGAGGATGATTCTGTGATTAGAGCAGGACACATGGGAACCCTGTGGGTATCTGAGTAGAACTGTGCTCCATAGGGGTTTTTCAGAAGTATATTGCCAGACCTTTCCAGGATTCAGGAAGGATGGTCTAAATGGGTGGCTTAAGTATGCAGTTGAAACTATGACCAAACATTGGCACAAGTAAATTGGTGCTCCTGGCTACCCACCACAAAAATGAGGTCAGCAACAGTCCTGCAGCTAATTCTATAGAATGGATACTCCTTGTTTGGAGCATTCAAATTGTGTCTGGCTTGAGTCCTCAAGGGCCTGCCTGGCTTGCCTCTACCCTAACCTGGCTGGCTGGCAGCAACCAAAGTCAGTCTCATCTCATTCAGAAAGATCCTTTTTATGCAGACCTCAAAGACGGTGTGATTTTAAAGCATTGCCTCAAGTTAGCACATGGACCCTTCCTTATCTGTAAAATAAAAAATGGGCAACAGGACTTTCAGAAATGTGATTCAACGTTTCTCTTCTCGTCTTCCCTAACTTCCTGCCCTTCTCTAATCCAGTCTACACACAGCAGCCATAGTGATTTTTTTAGAATGTAAATTGAATCATGTCACTTCCTTGCTCAAAACCCTCCAATGGTTTCATTTTGAACTTAGAATACATTGAATTTACAATGAAATCCCATCTCAGTAGTGTAGTTTAAGGGGACTCTGAGCTAGCCACGACCTGCTCTGTGCCTGCTACTCCCCTCCTCTTGTTTGGTCATACCCCTCCTGCCACGTGGTACTTGGCCAGTCCTGTTTAATGGTTAGTCTCTTTGCATGTTCAAACCTCTGACTTTTTCTAACAGGCATCCCGTGGCCAGCCTGTCCTACGCATGCCTTTGACTGTCTATCACACCTCACACACCCTATCACAGCACCCTGTTTATCCCTTTTATATCATTTCAATTAACTTGCAGTCATGATCTATTTATCTTTTGTTGTTGCTCTGTCCTGTGAGCTCTATAAGGAAGGTCCCTGGGTGGCGCAAACTGTTAGCACCTGACTGCTAACCTAAAGATTAGGGTTTGAACC